AGAATAAATGTTAGATACTCACAACCACCTACACTACATGCAACCTTTTGAAAAGTAAAGTCAGCAGAAGTCATGTAAGTGAAGGTGTGCTAGACAAAGGCAGCACAAAAATTATATTGTTATGAACGTTTTTGTCTCGGGAACTATCATTTGTAGATAAATGGCACGGGGAAAATAATTTGTGCCAGTTTTATTGGATAAACATTGTTTCACAGGATATATTATCGATCGTTAGTGATCAGTCGAAGGCGGATATAGGGTTGTTCATGCGTAAAAGAATGTTACATAAATAGACAATAAGACTATGGCCTACATTATTTAGATAAAATATAGTGTGATAGGAATATTTATCATTAATATTGTCAGTTTTGCTTCAATTATTTCAATAATTGTTCCATATATTTTTTTCTTCGTTTATTGTTTTGTTTGTGTGTAATATAAGGTACTCAGTGACATAATTATGGATGTTTTTGTCAAAACTAATAGAGTACTTATTGTAAGCTAAAATACGAGCCACGAAGATTTATCAGTGAAGTACAGGTTACAACCGTGCACACGTTTCCCTGCGATCTACATGTAATTGTTTGGCGTTAAGACATCACAAACAATCATTTTCACAACAAAAAGCTTTAATTTACACTTTGTACTATTCACATAAGAATCACTGTCTAGCGAAAAACATAGATATGTGTTAAAGAAACGCTAGGGTAGCGTGTTATATTGCTATGTTTATATTATAACACTGCTTGATATACTATTCATTAATATATGTGTATGCTTACATAAACATATATAAATATATGCTCGATTCGTGAATTACTTTCTATGTATGCATAGGTACACACACCCCACACCTAAAACGTAGATACACGGTGAAGAAAACTCGCAATCGCCTAATGATTTTCATGGGAGGTGATTAGTGTTGGAAAGTATAATATCTGGCCTATATAAAGTTTCGAAATCGAAAATGAATCTAGTGACATCTGATTGATCGTCTTCACTTCATAGACCTACTTTGCTTTCTCTTCTGGTGTCTAAACCTATTTACAGATAATGTCAATATGTGCCATTGTGTCAGGTCATTGTGCGAAAATTCAATATTTCAACCGAAGTTATTGCCCGGTGATGCCATGACGAACCATAGTTATCTGCAAAACGTTGTACTGAATGAGTGAGTCAACTCCCCTACTATGACATGATTCACAATCTGCTAATTAACTCTCGGTAGTTTCAAGAACACGTGTAGTTTTTTTAATGTTTTTGGCTAAAAACGTTGATTTAAAAAAAACACATTTGCAACATATTTCTTTATTAATTTTGTCTTTTAAGGCACGGTGTACCACCAGCTGTGGCCCAATCTTTTATTTAGTAGAAAGTCCCTCAGCCCACGTACTAAGTTAACATTTGCAGTATATTTATGAGCTGCTGACAGTCAAACAAATGAATTAAGGCATCTTTAACATAATTAGAGATGGACAGTTAATGAGTTAGGTTATCATTTTGAACATTTCAAAGTATTTAGAACGTAACTTCTTTATATGCTGGACATTTATGAAGAAAATTCATCATGTACATAATTTACATATCGTACAATAGGTATATTGACATGGAATGCTATCTCGTCTACACGTAGCTTTTTCTGACTTCACATTTACGAGGCAATTCTTCAAACAGGACACACTTTTCATTTTAGAATATAAATGTAATGTTGAACAGTCATTAATTTCAGCCATTATTGATTGAACGTGGCGATTCCTTATCCTTGTTTTAAAATTGATTAGAAAAGTCTCCTTGAATCTCTAACATCTTGATTCTCCCAAACAAAACCGAACTCCCGCTTCCTGGAAAAGAAAAGTTGCAATACGTTGAAATCTTTAACCTTTGACGCTAAATAACAAACCTCACTCTTCCCAAGTTTATTACCATTTCGAAAAACTAAGACTTCTGTCTTGTCAAAATTAACAGTGAATCCCCATCTATGGCAAACTTTTACCAATGAATTGATTTTCCTTTGAAACCCAATAACACTATCTGAAAGTAAACACAGGTCAACTGCATCGATGAAAGATATAATTCCAGAACATCTGCGCAAAAGAAGATACCTCAATCCGATTCTTCCATATCACCATGACACTTGATAGATAGATATATAATTGAAAGTTTAATAGGTGTCAGAGCAACTGGGCCCGTTTACACCTTGCCCATCATGAAGGCTTGCTAAGTTTCGAATTTTTAATGAAGTAGTTAAGCTGCCACACGTTTTAATATAAGCAAGAATGACATCCTGAACATATTTGAACTCAACAGTCCAGTCAATATTGAGCGCCGTCAAACATTCCACCATCGCCTCACGTTGATTTAGATATTTTGGCAATGCAGTAAATAATGAGCCACATCATCTAGCTGATTACAAACTGTGCAATTTGCAGAAATATCATTATTAATAATGTTTAGATATGCACCAAGACCACAATGCCCAAGAAAAAGTCTGGTTCAAAGAACCTCTTCTCTACGATTGCTTCTGGATAATGTTGATTTAGCTACAAAAGGCTCGTTGCCATGGAGATGGCGTCCTTTTAAGTATGAGGTCCATCTCTGTTGCCATTTCATTTGAGCATGGATCTTACTGACGATGCATAATTCTGCAGGAGAGGGCAATATGTCTCATCCTGTTCTGATACATGAAAATCTAGTGCAGCTTTTGCCAATTGATCAGCTTTTTCATTTCCTAATATTCCAACATGAGCAGGTATCCATGAAAAGTCAAGGTCTTTACTTAATTGATTAAAAAGGTCAAGTATACTATTGATCAAGTCTTGTCTTGCGGAGGAGAAACCTGTCCGAATTGCTTGTAAAGAACTGACAGAATCACTGAAAATGACCGCTGATATACGTCTCAAAAAATTAATCCAACGCAAAGCTTCAATGATTGCTGTAAGTTCAGCAGAGAACACAGATAAGTGATCAGCTAATCATATAGAAATTTCTCTTTTATCAGTGGCTATGAAGATACCTGCACCAACACGACCGGACACTGGGCACTTAGATCAATCAGTGTAAATCTGCATAGCATTGATCCACTGTAAACTTCGGATATGTTCCTCGGCAAGAGCTTTAACACGACGTGCTGGCTCAGATTTATTTGCTTGTTCCAGGACATCAAGATAAACTGATTGAAGTTCAAGCAACCATGGTGGCTTCTTTGGCAGAACACTAACATTATCTCTGGCAACATCACGTACATTATCACCAAGCAACTGATTTATAGATAAAGAAAACATCAACGGACTTAAAATTAACTCCTGCCTCACTCTGCTACAATAATCAAAATAACATGTAACAGAAGATAATTTGACACATGCACTCGTTTTTTATAAATATCCTTGATAATATTTAACATGATATCGTGAATATTATGAGATAATAAAATATAATACAACTAATCTCTGTAAATCGAATCGATAGTTTTACGAAAATCTACATATAAACAGTGAAAGCGCCCTCTTTCCGAACCTTTTCTCAGTTTGAGATCCTCGACAGCTCTATCAACTTCCTCTTGAGTGAAATCTCTGTTTAACAGATTATTACAGTCATCATAGTTACAAGGATCACAATGAGCAGCCATTTCATCATGACAATTAGCGTAATCTTTCACTCCTCGTCGACAACAGCGTCCTATATGTTGAGAACAGATTTGAAACATATAACCCACGAGAACCTATCAATGACGGGCGATGTATACATACAATTATTATGAAAGCCTTTAACATAAGACGTGAATGACTGCATTGTTGCTTTTACAATGGAAACGTATGTCACTCGTAGCATTGGAATAATAAAATTCTTTACGATGGCGACAAAGTTCTATAAACTTTATTACAGACGGTTTGAAACCGAGCCATAGTCTAACTGGAGACTTTGGACATCTAAGTCTAAATCTGTGAAGAAGATAATATTTTTCTCGTATTATCTGCTCACAGTCCTCATCGAACCACGGAACATTCATGGGACGCTTAACAGAGTTACTTTTAATACTGAGTGTCACACCACAACTCCGAGCTGATGACTCAATACACTTGGTTCATTGATAGCAGGTGACGTAGTGTGACTCGCCATATTATTAAAATCCCCAATAGGAATATTGACTAACTCATTTCCCTAACGACTGGTAAATTGTTTCTGCGAGTGCTGGACGCCGCACTAGTCTTCTTATAGGATCGGTGTTTATGTATCCAAGTGGTTGTCGTTGAATTTCAGTTTCAATATAATAGAGACATGACTCCAGACTAAAGTTTATAACACAAGCAACAAATCAGTTGAGCACAACATGTATTGAACAAGACTGGCACCACAACATGTAAAGGCGCTGTTTGGGTCCCACGTAGACGTGCCGTTCAGAATGTGGATACCTCGTGAGCTGGTTCATCAGGTCCTTTCCGTAAGGGTTGATTTCCTTATCTCGCGAAGAACGCGGCACATCAAAATTATCAACTTTATCATCGGCGTCGTTAAGCTCAGGCAAATATTCATGTGATCCTGGCATAGCAAAATCCATCAGTCGCCCAGTGCGAGTATTGAAATACCGGCCCAGAAAGATATCACAGTCAACATGTTTTGATCGGAATTGTTGATAGCTTTATCAATATATTGTATACCTTTGAACTCGCATGTGTTGCTCACTACTGAAAAGTGAGTGAGTGAGTTAAAATTTGCAGCCATATCGTGACGAGAACAATTTATATCAATATATTTAAATCAATAAATCTATTACGTAAAAAACTGTCATCGAAGCGCTACTGAAGAGTGTTCTGGGTGTATGTAGACAAATCCGAGGATAAGTTGTCTCCCCGGTGCCGAGAATGATGCACCATAAACAATGAATATACAGTCATTGGAAATCTGGTATACGTTAGCAATGAAGACTGAGAAACTTCGGCACTATCACTCCAACACCGCCTCGATTATTATCCTGGAAATTCCTGAAATTCAGATAGCAAGTATGGTCAGGGATATCATGTTTATCACAAATGCTCCATATTTCTGAAAAAGTGATGATGTAGTATAGCAAGCAAAAACTGTTCACCACTGTTAAGTTTCTTAGAGAGTCCATGAATGTTCCAATTCAAAAGGGAGACAACTCGTCCATCGAGGGCTGGACATCCCCCTATATACGCCCGGTGTCAGACTGATCAGCTCAAGACGTCGACGGGTGAACACAGCCGAGTCAGTCTCCAGGTTTCATGTTGCAATCTCTCCGTCCTCGAACACTAGCTTGTCGAACCTAAGACGACATCTCATCCCTTCCCCTCTCTCAATATCCATAATTGATTTTAATTTCTTTCTTTTAGATCTGGCTGTAACAGAGTAATCTCCTGACAGTCCTGTTCCAGAACCCTTCAAAGACCTTGTCTTCTTCAAAACATCACCTCGATCACAATAACTGAGAAACTGGACTACGATGGATTTCCCGAGTCTGACAGGGTGAGCTCGCTGGATGGTAATGTCTAAACCATCAATGTCCATCTTTGATTTCATTACATCAGATTGTTCACATTCTTGCCACATTGAGGTGAATATTTGTTACTTGAAATGTAATATATCTTACAGAGAGGAGAGAGGACAGATCCATTGTTATATTGCTTTTGTTGCCTACCAGGGCAGGTTCATTGTGCTTTAGCGCTGATTATGATTGACATGTATGACTTTGCCGCCGCATTTACATCTTCTAAAGACGGCCAAACACAGACTGAAGAGGAACTCTCCGAGTTCTGTGAGAGTCATGAAGCTGGCTCCAAGATAGATGCCCATCTGACCTCCCAAGTTACCTGACAACCGATAATATAGGCGTCACGAACTGGTCTATGCATACTTAATAATAACTGTAATCATTTGGGGCAAATTCTCCAGCGTTAACACTTACAGGTAATTATGGTGAAGAATATAAAATAATTATACATGCATAAAATATTAATGTTAATCCTCAAATATACCAAAGCTCAATAATATAATGTTGTTCTGTTCTAAATCTATCTTCCAATATAATTTTATGAAAAATATATATAGCCGTGATACACAATTCGCAAACGCACAATTTGGGAGCATGATATCAGCACACTCTTATTTTATTGCTACAACGGTTTACGAAAACACACTTGTTTAACCTTAGATAACGCTTAAACCAAGCACAGTTGTCTACTGTTGGCATAAGAACATTCCATAATAATGTCTGTCGACGTTTTTTCATGCAACCGTCTGTTGATACACAGGTATTTGTTTACTTATCATGTATTGAGCGAACATTCACAAACCGATGTTAACTGAAACATTGGATGTGGATTATATGTACTCACCTAACATGGTCTGCGGTGTATATTGCGGCGTCTGTTCTGTTGAGTGGATAATAAGGTTCTCATAGAAAACCCTTATTTCGAGAAAGTTTTTCCTGAAAAAAATATCGGTTTTTTAGGAAATGTTCGTGTTACAGGAAATAATTGGCAGTATATACAAAAAGATACAGCCGATACATAATGGAGTTCTTTCTTTCATGGTGAGTTTTTATACATATTTGTAACATTAGTTATCGACAGTAGCAAATGGATGTGGATGTGAGACCTCTGCACCAAGGTCATAACTTGTTTGAGTGTCATTTTTAGAAGTTGAGACGTACCATATGGAACACGTTTTTATGGATAACAACTTCTTTATTTCGTGAGTGCGACGCTTCGATACAGATTCTTGTACCATTGGCAAGCAAGGTTATGTCATATAATATGTTTTCTCCAGTTCTCGATAAGTGGAATGTCAGTTTAGGAGCATGTTATCAAATCGGGTGATAATAGTGTGCTGCCAAAAATGGTGTGTCGAGGTATTGAGGCCTAAATGATGTTTAAAATCCTTTGAACAACATAAAATATGATGCACACGCATTAAGTATACTTACTTGATAGATTCCTCGCCTGAGAAAGTCGATAGCTTCTTAACATAGTCCATGGCTGCATCTGATGGGTAAGATGATGTTGATACTTTGATGTCATATGTCTCGAATGAACATGGCATTTGACAGCCACAGGCTTTCTGAATCGTTGCATTCTTCTTCAACTCAACTGAAATACATACGTCACAAATTTCATGTAAAAAATGATGCAAATGCAGGTAAATATACCAATTTGTATGTAAAGTTTGCTTTCCATGAGAGAGTGGGTTACAATCTAACGTCACCTCGGCAATATTTCAGCCATATAGTGACGAGACATGTTGTACATACACAATAAATACAAGTAGTTAAATAACCAGTCACCGACGGACTGTAAAATAACTAGAGTATCACAAAGAGAGTTAAAACTAGTTAGCGTGTATCTTTAAAAGTAGAAAACTAGTTTAGACAATACAATGTAAAAATTGACTATTGATGGCCAACAACTGAAGGTAGATCACCGTAATAGAGACCGTGGCTACCTGCATCGAAGATAGCTGGATTTACACCATCCCTTCAGCTGCTGGCGATTGTTGGCAACTTTTAGCGACAAATTAGAATGACAATAATACTACGAGTAAAAAAGTGGAACATGCTTTCCATGAGTGACAGAACATGTTCGGAGAGGCGTATGAATACATCAGACTGACTGACTTAGTGAGTTTGGTTTTACGCCGCTTTTAGCAATATTCCAGCAACATCACGGCGGGGGACACCAGAAATGGGCCTCACACATTGTACCCATGTGGGGATTCGAACCCGGGTCTTCGGCGTGACGAGCCAACGCTTTAACCATTAGGCTACCCCACCGCCCCGAATACATCAGAAACGATTGTGTAAACGTCTAAATAGGTGTAAGGTTCTCGTAGCTTTAAGCGATATTTCAGTACATCATGCAAATCCAGACTGTTTTGCATGTAGAATTTACGCTTTTGCCACTAAAGTGAACAAACAAGATATACGTGTATGTGAGGAAGACAAAAGTGAACTTACGATATGTCGGAAAAAAACACGTATTTAACTCATACAAGGAACACAATCGTCCGATAGTTCCTGTAAACAATGATATACACAATAAATGACTAAACTTTTCAATAACAAAATTAAGTAATCTAAATAAGTGTTTTAATAAAAGATGCTTAAATATTGCTTAATCAGACCATGGTTGAATCTAACTATTCATCAATTTATCTTTACATTTGTCTATCTCTCTCCACAAAATAGCATCGCCTTAATTGTTGTTGTTGAATTAATCGACAGAAAACATGGAATTCTAGGAACCCTAACACTATGGGCCAGAGAGATGACAGTTGATGCTAGTGGTTTACTACCTTCCACTATTTCCAATGTAGTATGGAAACCATCTTTAGAGTTTAAACTATGTCAGCTTACCATTGTCCATCGGCCTAATACAACCGCAAATGTTGTATGCTTCCTGTGTGACACATTCTCGCTGACAGTTTTCATATGTGTATATCTCAAAGTACTTTAGGGAGTTCTTGAATTCAGGTGCCGAGGTGTCAAGGCAGGTTCGGTTCTCGAAGGCCTCATAGGGCGATGGTAGATACTTGTACTGTGCAAATGTTAGTTAAAAATCAAAAGGAATGTGTGACTCTGAAAATAAGTCAACTCTATTTACAAAAGCCGTTTGGATGAATGCCACTGTTCAAGTGTCTCAACTTACCAAATAAATAGCAACGTGTTGAAACGAGATATGATGATAATCATTAGGGGACATTCGGTTTACATAAAGACAAATCATAACATGTATGAGATTTTTGTGAAAATTAGCTTATAACACGTAATGCCACGCAAAGATGTCTCCTATAATTCCAGTTCAGGTGGGTAAATCCTCAGTAGGGGGGAAATGCCTGTTTTATGGTGCTTGAACGATATAAGGTCATCAATACACTTGGAGCTTGAGGAAAGTTATTAGCCAAATTACCTTGTTTGAATTTTGCCAACCGGAACAGCTGCATAGGAAAACACAAGAAGGGGAGCACAATTGGGGATGCCTACTTCTTGTCTCATGTTTTACCCCAAAATGTAACGTTGAGGGTATCAATGATGAAGACCAGTATTTCACATTGTGTTTTCTAAGTTAACTTTAGACAGTTGGACAAACTGTCCCGAACCTTTGAAGATAGAGAACCATACCTATATTCACCATGTTTCTTATCAAATGCCACATGAAATACAAGTATAATATATAAAGTTTGGAGATTATACATTGAACAAATTCTGTAAATATACAGAAAGTCATTCCTTGGTAGCTTACAGTATTATGGGAAATCTTTGAGACATTGATTAGAAGCCTTGAGATGTATTTGAGGCAGCTGCTAAAGAAATACATACAGAGGAACTTTGGTTAGACATTTTCTGTGGGTGAACACTATCAACAGTGAGTGACATACCCGTGATTTGTGTACAGCAGCGTATGTTGATGTCCCAGGAGCTGCTAGGAAGGAGGACTTTGCTTCATCAGGGTGGACACGAGGATCGTGTAAGATCACCTGCAGTCAGTGAAAAGTTTATATGTCCTTCTCTCAAGTTAACTGTAATAAGTTTTGCAGTGGTATACTGCTCACCAGAACAAAGGTTCAGTATTTAAAGATAATTCGAAGTTTAAGAAGCAGAATCTCAAACTCTACGGGTTCCGTGAACTGATGCTGATACTCCAGCCACAGTATGCCCGTGTCTATACATCCGCTTGTTTGTTGAAAGAAAATGATGTCGATTGTGGAACAATATAGTATTCCCAGAAATTATTCAGAAAATCTGTCTTTGCTAATACTGATAACAGAATGTTAAAATAGGTGTTGCATTAAGCAGTATAGTACCCAATATGGGAGGCAACTCTTGTAAGCTTAAAAATTAGCATTACTTCATCAAGGGTTATCTCCCCTGGTGTAGCAGACGGCTTCCCTTGATGACATGCCAGATTTTGCAGCAGAAGAGAAAAGAAAGCAGGTTCTAGATGATTTTGAAAGGAGTCTGACTAATGCAAAAGAGATAGCTGGTAGCTCTGTCTACAGTATACAGAACTTTGAAGAATATACAGTCAGGAGTTGGGAATGAACACAAGACGGGCAGGGAGGCCAAGGAAGTTCAGTACTACGGATCGCCGTCGACTTGGTCAGATTGTGATTAGGGGAAAATTGTAAAGCGTTGAGAATATCAGAAGTGAGATTAAAAGTAGGAAGTGCTCACGTGTGTAATGAAACCCTTAGACTAGAATTACAAAGTGGGTGAAATAGCGCGGAATTCCCGCATCTTGATGAACGATGCACAAAAACAAAGACGTTTTAACTGGCGTAGGGTTCAAGAGTTTGATAATGTTTTCTTTCCTAATGGAAGTTGTGTCTGGCTTTTTCCGAACTGTGTGAAATTTTGGACGAAAGATACCGTGAAACTATTTACAAACGCCCAAAACATGTGGGATGGACGTGGAGTGACGCCGTTGTGTATTTTCTTTTCACTGGAAATTTGACAAAGGAACGATATGTTGATATCTTAAATGGTCACCTTCTTCCAACGGCCTGCACTCTGTATGAAGATAATTGGATTTTCCAGCAAGAAAACAACCCAAAACACACTGCGGGCTACACAAAACAGTGGTTGTCGGACAAAACTGTTCACATTTTAGACTGGCCCAGCTACAGCCCAGATCTTAACCCTATTGAGAATGTGTGGGAACAAATAAAGGCGAGAAAAAAGGACTTGAATATGAAGGAAGATGTGGTCGAATATCGGGATGTGCTGTCATACAATTTCCTACAAACTTTAATCGGTAGTGTACCTAGACGCATTCAGTCGTGTATTGCAGGGCATGGACGTACTGGAAAGACTCTTAGACTGTAAGATTATCATATCTCAACTTCTATAGCTTATAATGCTTTTCGTCACGATATGGCTGAGATATTGCCGATGTGACGTTAAATATTAACTCACTCACTCACTATAGCTTATATACATTATTATTAGATATTTGCCGAAACAACTTCTGGGAATACTGTACTCTTGTGCCTGTTGCATGGTTTAACACGTTGACAATAAAGACATCAACAACTCATGCTGAGGTGCATGCTATATGTCTTTGAAACTATGTGTATTTCTTTTGACATTTTACTAACCTTTATCCCGGCTGCAAGTTGCGACCCAAGAACGTAGTTGACCTGGTCAATCTCAGCATACATGATGAGATTGTTCTCTGAACCAGTAACGCGAACCTTAGCCACATCGGAAGTATTCCAGTTGAACGTTGCACAGTTACCCGTGTGAGTGAAAACAGGTTTCATTACTTTCATGCAAGGATGATATATAACTTCATTCATCAGACACATGTAAAACATTTCGTTCGGACTCATGCCCAAGTCTTTCCACCACTTGAGGCTCTGACTCTCCTGAAATGTTGGCATGTTATATTCGGGGTCGCTCCAATTTACTGGACTCGACAAACTTCCCAAAATACTGATTTTGTTGAAGAACTTGTGGAGGCTAGGATCAGCAGCATTAACTTTGCTTAAGTTGTAAGGACTATGACTGCAGAAGGTGACAGCTGGAAACGCTATTTCCTCCAGCACATCAACCTTCGTGTTGGTGTTCACTGGGTATCTGCAGTAGTTGATGAGTTCAATCGTTATACTGTAGGACATGAACGCTGCCATAGTGAACACCAGAACCGCCCACAAAGCACTGTCAAGGCAACAGCTGCATATTAATGCACAGAATAATTATGCTGCGGTATATGAAACAAGCATCACATCATTTATGATTTTAACTAAGTGAGTATGGTTTTACGCCACTTTTAGCAATATTCCAGCAGTATCAGTCACGATATGGCTGCAATATTGCCGATGTGACGTTAAATAATAACTCACTCACTCACTAACTCCAGCAATATCACGGCGGAGGAAATCAGAGATGAGCTTCACACATTGTGCCCATTTGGGGTTTCGAATCAGGTTCTTCGATGTGACGAGTGGACACTTTGACCATTAGGCTACCCCACTGCTTTTGACATTTTGACAGAAGTTGCAACATACATTACAGGCATAATGATCTCTTCAAATCTGGATGGACCAACTGACACCATTTAGAAGAAACCGCCTCCGTGGTTTACTGGTTAGTGCGTCCGCCCGGAGAGCGGAAGGTCGCTGGTTCGATCCCCGACTGCGTCATACCAAAAGACGTTAAAATATGGTACTTGTGGGTCCCTGTCTGGTGCTCGGCATTAATGGGTACAACAAGGACTGGTCGGCTCGGAGTCAGTTTAGTGTGTGTGAGTGGGGTATTCATGCTTCACTGCGGCATGGTATCTCAGTGGGCTAGCACTATAAACCCAGCTTCAGTCTGAGCGAGTACAAGCAGCCGCACACACACACATACACACGCATGCACGTCGTCCTATGAGCGAAATATTCTCAAGCACGACGTTAAACCATTGTTCACCTCACCTACCTCAATTTAGATAAAGCTAAGGCGGGGACACCCAGTGATGCAAGTGGTCACTAAAACAGAGAGATTTTGTGTTGATTGTTGGAAGTCCAACGTGTAATATTCTATACAGTACACGCCTAATTCTACTTACCGCCTAACTTTGTGGCGGCGTCCAGGTGACAGTTTGTTAATTCCATGAAGTCCAGTATCTTGAGTGAAATCAGACCACAAACTTTGTATCGTCTGACTATTGGAGGCAGTTTTATCTGACCACGCTGGTTTTGGGCCCAAGGATTCCGTTGCTGGTGGCATTTCAAATTGCTCAAAATCATGTGCTGTTATCATACATAAACATGTAGAGACTGCAGACTAATTCTCAGACTAAAGTGTTATGTGTTATTTATGAATACCGGCAAACACATTAATGAGGTGTCTGAGTATTATTGATTATATATTGAAATTGATCACTTACATTACGCTTTGTCACGGCATCATTAGTGGTCTGATAATATTTGCATCTATAAACACATCGACCAATTACTGTGAGATATTTGGCTAATGATTTCAGCTTCACTGCCTTCAACCTATTAATGACGTCTATCTTTGAAATATATATATAAGTTCTTAAAGCAAGTCTAATCAGTGTTTAACGGGCATAAAATGTTATGACGCGGAAAGACACATGTTTCAAGGTATGGCAACGATCAACAGTCCATAATAACAACGGACCTGGCATGTTCAAATGGACCAAAAAACAAGCGGGATTCACAAGCAAGTTCTAACTGTTTGTCCATGTTGTGCGCTGTTGCAGCTTAGCCTCATCGATGTAAACCTTGTTATATATCACTCAATATCCGAAGAACTATTGGGGGCGGATTTTGATGACGTCGTAGTGGTTGCCCCATTCATACCTGACGTGTTACCAAATCAGAAGATATTGCCGTATTGAGTAACATTAACACTGTTCTGATTATGGTACTGCTGTTCAACCAGCGCAACTGGTTGGGTAGCATTGCTTTATTGTTCAAAGCGTCACCCTAAGGCCGTTCTATTGCAAAAAAACCCGTTTCAATACTGCAGTTGCATAATCTCGTCTTCGTACCTCACAACATTCAAATGTCCCTTTAATCACAATCATCCAATCACAGATCATAACGCCCTCGCCTCAAATACAATCCTATTCCGAAAACTGGTCTACCAGGTTACGTCCATGTAACGTTCACCTGTGCTCCTGGCCTTCAATCAGCAGCGGGAAGAAGGAAACGTGACTGATCGGTTGTGATCTGCATCGCAAGGTCTTCAGCTCCATTGGGGAAGTCATTTTATGTTCTGGTGGCAGAAATGATCTTGACGTTGGGTCGTTACTGGTGGGCGGTCACGGCAGGTATTGCCACGGACATTGACTAGACAAGCAGCGTCACACCAGACTGATACACCTATATTTCTACATCTATCAGTTTCCCCGAGGGGTGGAATGTTGATCATGTTCCGAATGATCACTGGGCGTGTTTTGCTGACTTCTGCACTTCATAAAGTGAGTGAGTTAATATTTAACGTCATATCGGCAATATCTCAGTCATATCGAGATGAGAAAAAATCATAAAAATAAAAAGTGAAAACATTTTGAAGAGTAAAACCTGTCGACGATGGACAGTAAAAATACTAGAGTATCACAGATAGGAATATAAAACTAGCATGTAAAACTAAAATATTTGAATAAAAGAAGACAATACAATATAAAACACGGGCTATAGATCACAAAAAATCTGAAGGTAGGGAGGGACCATAGGGACCTACATTACTTACTGTCGGCATTTTTTACACTCTAGCTATAACATTAAAATAGCATATATACTGCACTTAAAATCGTAGTAAGTTTAAATTTACTTTAATTGTTTTGGGACTTACGTACCGCACTTCTTAAAGACTGAATTGAGTTGAACTGATAAGCGTCTGGTTGTCTGGCCAGTTACTGAATATTACTGAACATTAGTTCATTAGTGAACATTTTTTTGCTAATATGTCATGCTTCGTTCAGATTTTGTGCAACAGCTGGTTGGTTGCGTTTTTCGACCATTGTAACAAACTATTTCTCTGATCTATTTTTTTTTCACAATATTAGCAATTAGCATTTCCGACATATTAATAGTATATCATTCAATACACTTATCTAAGTGAAAGATAAGGGTAAGGATACTTTAAAGAAGAGTGGTTACAAGGTCTCCGTTTGGTATGGCATTTTGAAGATGTTTTTTAAACAAATATAGACATTCTCATGTTGGCACTCTCCATTTCCCAAATAAAGCCTTAACTGATGGCGGCTGAAGGTTTGTACATCTGAATCGCTCTATGTTGCAAATGCAAACCTCATTGCAAAGTTAAGGTAATAATGACGGTAGGCTGCAATGGAAAAATATATTTGCTTGTCTAATATCTCTACACATTTCTTAAGGGTGTAAGAGGCGATTACGAGATCGGATCGCCAGGTGCCAGGTGCCACATCCAAATTGCAAATATCGATGTAAATCACATATTTCCTAATCCGGGATCGATTATTTTAAAAACTGCGTCAAGGAGCTTTAAGGTCGATTTCTGGAATGGGGAGCAAGAAATAAACGAATTGCTTTCGATGATCAATAAACGAGTACTTGTAGTGAAAGTATTAATTCGTTCGAGCCTGTGGTTGTGATGTGTAGATCCCCATACATTGATCATTGATCAAACAGGTACACGGCTTAGACATCATTCACAGCTATCTTTGAAGATAAATATTCTAGGCTTTTTTGTCTGTGTAGAATTTTTCGGTTCATTTAGGTATAAATCGGAGTGCCAATGCACAAACATTTGCAAGATGCGGATTCTTACACGTCGGTGTTTCGATTCATACCTATATGAACCAAAAAAATTAGACCCAATCCTTATTACTACATTTAGCAATGAAATAAATCGTAGATCACAAGCGTCCAGTGGAAAGCAATAAAATAACTCAAAACAGTTCAAAACCAGGAGACTGAAAACAAAACACTCCAGTTGTACAAATGCATACAGGAATCAAGTGATTGATTAGTTAAAGCATTTAGCTAGGCATGCTAAAAGAGTCTGTCAACGGAACGTAGCATCAAACAAAGAACCTAATAATCTATGCAAGAGGCGGTAAGAATTACAAAAACAAGGCCGTGACGAATCAAAACAGATCTGCCAGGGACAAGCTGCTGTTTCAAATGACATGGTGATATACCGCCAGTTTTATACATTACTTTCATGAGACACAGGAATAGCAAAAATCCCCAAGTCCAAGAAATGAAACTCGAAGACATGAAACGCGTTTCACCTAGCGGAGTCAGCCTACATGTTTGCAGTTTTATTCGGTCTTGGCGTTCTGCCTCATATGGTTGTTTGGACTTTGAATATACATCGATATTCCAGAAACGACCTCTTTATCAGTAAATGTAGGACGTTAGTTAATGGTTTACATTGACTGGAAAATCAATGACATGTTGTGATTTATTAGAATGTAAGAACTGCAAGGAACACAACAAATATTCAATTTGATGGACTAGGTATTAATATACCAACAATAATTATTTATTATTTATTATTACATCATATTATGTTATCATCATTGACCCTTGATAATTATTAAATTGTTGTCAGCCTGACAGTGGCACGTGAGTCCAAATTATATGAAGTATGTAACACCAACTGGTATTTTAATTGCTCGATTGATTAGCTTTGCATACAACCACATGTGTCCAGAGCGATGACGTAAATCCTCCAAGTTCGTCACGTGTCATGGTTCTGATTATTATCTTTGCACTTCTTCGATAAGCATGGTCGTATCTCGCAAGGTCAAACGTATATCTTGTAACATTAACATCCTTTCACGTACTTTTGTAACATTATATTCATGTGCGGAATCCAGGAATTTTCAAAGAGTAGATTTAGCTTCGCCAATGCAAAACATTAACATCAATGCGATCATTAGTCATTTTCAAAAGCGGGGTCGAACCCCCCGAAACCCCCCATCCCCCATGAAAATGCTGGGCGGACTTCGTTTGATGCACCCCGTCGGTGTGGTTCTGTTTCTGGTTCTCGTCTTCTGGTACAGCTGTTGGCATGTTTTCGACAGGCTCCGACGGTACCCAATTCCTAGAAGGCTATTCGCCATATTTGGTCCCATATTTCAGACAGGCAAACATATATTTCAATAATGTAGGCCTTTGACCCGTAATACAAATAAAATGTGAATATAAAAAATACATACATGCTGAATATTTTAATGTAATTAATGTTGTTACAAGTAAGAAAATGCACAAATGTTTCAGTTGTTAGAGGCTGTGTCTGATGGGTTGTGAAACACTTCAGAATATTTGCCGCAGATAAGTAGGGCATGGAGCTCGTCTTCAACTTAGTTTAGGCCCACAGATTGGCAGCAAAGACAGAGACGTTGACCATAGGGTGTATTTGTGTGGCGACCGGTTTCCACTGTCTAAAGTTGTTACAGCGGAACATGGTTATACTCCCAGTATATTATATTAGTATATTCAATTAGTGATGACGTTTGTTGTTGTTCCCAGTCTCAATGATTCCCGAAGGCAACAAATCTTAAAAATGAATGGCATCATTTGGCCTTCGTCATTTCTTGTGGCCATTACTGCCTGAAACAACCTCCTTTATACTTCGACACAAATGTACCATGATTCAGAAAACGTCTTAAAGATTGTATGTTATATATGATACTTCAGTTACAGGTAGGATGGGTACGTTTGATGTTATTTCGACGATTACGCAATTTTAAGACGACTGTAAAACCAAGAAAGATGAGGAACTCCCCGAGTTCTGTGAGAGACAGGATGCTGGCACCAAGACAGATGCCCATCTGACCCCCAAGGTTACCTGTCAACATAAAAGGAAAGTCAAGGCTGTCACCAGCTGTAGGTAGTTGTTTATGAGGGTATATAACATATTATATTTCTAATATTAATCTAACTTTTTCAAATGAACGTAAATTCAGTATGTCTTCTCTCCATGTGATTCGAGGTTCTCAATATATAACTGACTATATTCTGGATGCAGTGAAACTTGTTGTAAAGTCACGTTTACATTCATTTACTCGCCTATGATAGTCTCAATTGTATACTGTGGTGTTTGTTCTGTTGACTGGACAATCAGATCTTCATAGAAAACGCGTACTTCGAGATAATTGTTCCTGAAATATAACAATAAGATTGCATTAGCGTGCTTTGTACTTTTTGCTGAAACAAATATTTACATTGTTAAAAATGGGTAACCGGCAGGAAAAGGCATATGACTATTTGCTTTCTAGCGCCTGACGGGGTAA